TAACAATCGCTCTGTCGTAGGTATTGCCGCCTCAGGGGAGGCAAAGAATATCTCTGCCTGAATTAGATATAGGATGGGGTGAACAGTTGGTTTGTAATGATATCAATTCTCACAATAAATTCACTTCACCCAGCTATGGCAATTATAAATCTTATAATAAACTTATATTTTACATTTAATAGAATATAATGCATTTTTAATATATTTGAAATGAGTTAAAAATCAATTTATTAATATCTCTTTGGTTGCCTGTAAAGTCGGTATACGGGCGAAAGTTTTACGTGACAACGACTTTGAGTGGTAAAATAATTTTAATGTGAATACTCATTCGTATAGTAGGAAGAAGGATGAAATAAAAGTAACAATTTAAAACATTAATTTATACAAAGAATCTCGCACTGAATTTCATATTAACAAAATTTTATTTTTACATTTACACATACATACGTATTTATATACAAATATACATACAATAACTTGCAATACATTTGCGTACAATGAAACGGCGTTTACTACAACTTAACTTGTTCCTATCTGAGTGATTTTGTAGAGGATAGGGCGATGATAGGATCACTTTTTATGTCTGTCTCTCTCGCTCTTAGGCGGGCTAACCAAGCCCGAGTGGAAAGGACGCGTGCCTCTCACTCGCTCTCATTGTGAGCGCATAACGTGAGCGGAGCGTAACGCAGTTTCTTGAAGTATCACCCGGCAAACCAATTTATAAGACGTTGTCACGTCAAAAAGTATTTATATTTTCCTATTTGTATTTTTCCTGTCAAAAAGCTCTATGAAGTGATAAATAATATCACAATATTTTTCTCCTTAAATAAAATATCGATCGGTAGTTTAATAATCATCGTTTAGATAGAATTTCCGAAAATTCACTGAAATCAAAAAGTATCATAAAAATTACACAATAATTCCTGAAAAATACAGAAAATTGTTATTTTTTTTAAACTTTGCGTTTTAATTAAAGACGCATTCAAAACATTACAGCAAATTATCATACAATTTCTCCTACGAACAGAAAAAACTAAACTGCTTGAATGGTAGGTTATTACAGCTTTTTATTGTAGTTGTTTTATTAGTAGAGAGATTTGAGTCGCTTTTTGTTCTTGTCTCGTTGTTTCTTTTCAAATCCGTATATAAACAGAATAATACGGTAGTGGCATCACAATTGACGATACTGGCAGAAGATCTGAACATAAAAGGTCTTTTTAAATCATTTATATTTAATATAAACCAAACAAACCCTGCTGGAGCGGTGGATGTTTTTAAACATTTTTCTCGTAATGTAACCATATATCTCGAGAATGCGTGACAGAAAACGCATGATTCAGTAAAAGGACTTTTTTTATCCAGTCTAAAAATAAATAATTTAACGAAGATTATAAAGTTCAAACAAAATTTATGTACAAGTCAAAAAGTATTAAAGTTTATAGCTATGAGATCTAAGACTTACGCGAGTCTTATTGATTTAAAATATAGTTTTATTTTAATTACATCTGCATTCCTGTTTATACTTAAAAAAGACATTATTATACTTAAAACAGACATTATTATATTGAGTGTATTTAAAAGAATGGCAATGTTGAACTAATATACTTACATATCTAGATACGGATACATACAATTATTTTCATTAGTATATACAGTGAAGTCCAGTTATGAAATAAGAAAATAACCAAGCCATAAAACAAATGCAATCGGTCTGTGAGGGAGACAGAATTAGCAATCCGTTAGTTTGTATGAAACGTTCACCTGTTCTGTGTATTTCCCTCGGAAGCAAATATGCTGCTCCATAGAATAATGAAATTGAAAGATATAACCGGGCCCAAGATAAATAATGGTATCGGATATTTTTTGATTTTCTCATTATAATCCTTTTTATTTCAAATGCGAAATTATGTACTTGTCCACATTGACCGTCAGCGAAATATTTTATTTTCTATCAACTCTTACTGTATAGCAATTCAAATTATCGGGTTTTTTAAAATTGTGAAATACAAAGTAGTTGTTTATATGTATTTCTAATGGATTAATCTAATATTAATATTGTATTTCAATTTTTTTTTAAACTACTTTTTTGTAATGGGGGGACATAAAGTCTGCTGGTGATTTCTTACCTGAGATTATTTTCGCCAAGCCAATCCTAAGTAAAGAACATGTACTTACTGCAGTTTTGATATGATAAAACCTAAAATAAATTGGTTATTGCTTTTAGAATATCAAAACGTTTTAGCTGTCCTTTGTTAAAATTGAAAATATTCTGGAATTTATCAACTATTATTCAAATATCGATTTAGAAAGAAGGTTAAGAAGCTTATTTTTCATACATGTTGCTAAGAAACATTAGCAGTCTTAAGTAACTTAATATACTAGAATATACGAAAACACGTGGTGGTACAGTTCTATTCTACTTAGCGTTCTTCGTACGCCAAAAGCTATTGAATTAATAAAAAAAACTTATTAATACATTAATTGTAGAAAATTTATCTAGTTTATGTTTGGTAGGTACATAAATATTTCTTCGTAAAATGCGTCGGAAAGGAGATATTACCAAAAAAAACATTTTTAGGCTCCGTTTTTAAATATGGCGGCGCGACAGGTACGAGGTGACAAAATGGAAATTCGGAAAGAGCATACCAAATCTATTAATCAACCAACTTTCAAAACTCCCGGAAAACCACTTTTTTGTACTAAATGACTGGACTACAGTGCACATAAATTTATTAAGAAACCTTGGTAAGATCCAAAAAGAGAAAATCAGTTTTTATTAACTTTCAAATATTTATTATTGCTTTTAACATCTCAGTGTAAGAAATTTTTGTCTCAATAAATATTTTGTACAGCGTTAAATTAAGGCTGAGATTTCAAACCTAATTTTATCATTTCTCTTCTAGCTCTAATTCATTGTTGATATTATTATTGTAATTTTAAACTGCTACCAAAATATTCCAGTAACCCTTTTGTAACATGTACATGTACATACGTATTGTCATAAAAATATATAAAAAAAAAATTATTTATTGCACAATTTTATTTTGCTTTTTAAAACTGCTACTTATAAGTATGTTTACTTCCTGATAGTCCTTTATTATATTTTCTTTTTAATAGGCTTTGAATTTTATCATATCTGAATCGAAAACCTTGGTTTTATTATATATTAGAAGTTACTATCTTTGAATATTTATTTAACAAATAAAGACATAATAAAGACATAAACTGTATTTATAGATGAGACGATGAATTACACTAAAACAATTAGTATTCTCAAAATTTTTAAAATAACAATGACTCTATTATATGTACATGAGCTACATTGTTAATGTTTTGAGTAAACGCTCTGTCAGTAACAATACAATGAGAAATGGTTTTTGATCTCACTTAACGTATTTTATATACCTAGATGAGATACCAGGACATGACAGATGTATTTGTCCTCACGGATATCCTGGAAGACTTGATATATACTTAATCATATTTCATAATAATAATTATAATAGAATAATGAAAGAATCATTTATTAGTCTTTAATATATTCTACGTTATTTGTCCTGGAATTAAATAAATCCCGTCTCGTTTAAAATCAAAACAGCAAATTCAAAAAGTCTGTAAATCCTAAATAAGATTATATTTCCTGCAAAAGGAATTTTTCAAACGCCAGCCTACAACGGGCACATCCATTTCGATTTCAAATCTGAAATCTGCTGGCTTTTTTTTTGTAAAAACTATTTAAAACAGACTAGAAAAAACAGAACACATTTAGTTGTTACGTCATAAATATACTTTAATATTTGTTTTTAATTAAATTGAAACCAAATCTTATGTTTGCTCCTCTCGGTATATTTTCAACCATTTTTTCCATATTATCTGTAACTACAGGTGCTAATAACAACGCTGTGGGGAAGAAGCTCTTCCATATTGCGTATATTATAACCAAACTAGCAACTCTCAAAATCACAGAAACGTCTCAGCAAGGTAGATTTTCGATAGTTACCCACGGGTCTCTAATTTCTTAATTAGTAGACACAAACTATGTAGCACCAAGCTAGTGCTATATAATCCATTATATAAACACATGGGGGAATATGTATGAGTAGATATTATGAAGCCTATGTTCTACATGTTCTACAATTTAATTTCTTATAAGTAATATACTTAATCTCGTAGCGGTAGCAAACATTTTAAGGAATCGTCATCCTATTTGATGCTTCGTAACACATCTCATTTTATGTGCAACAACTATCGTTTTCAGAGAATGCAGCTTTTATTCATTTAAATTGAAGCATGAGACTGAAGAGACGATTAAAAATGATACTATGTAGATACACTCAGTTTTGCGAACTTTGTTTTATAGGGTAGCGCTATGTAAGTGAGACACATTTTGTGCATTTGCATTTACAAGTTTTTAGTAATTTCCCTAACTACTTTTTACTTTATATTGTCTTTTGTTACATAGTGAACGATCCAATTTTAGTATTTAGTTTTTTTTATCTAAGAAAAAGTCAAAATCGCTGAAAATAAATTAAAAATGTCCTACCGTTTTGGATACAATCTAAATTTGAAATATATTTTGTGTTTTTATAAATATAGTAGAATTATATAGATTATATTTATAAGCATGATAAAAAATTTTGCGACTTTACAACCGATATAATATTCTTCATAAATCTTCAAGGCCCTAAACAAACACTTCACACTTAAGATGAATTATCCAAAGGTCAATCGATAAAGCGTTAGTTTTTTCTTCAAATATATTTCCAATTTTTCTGGCACACACCGCAAATATAATACCGACTATTTTGCGGTTCTTTTTCTATTTTTTACGAGCATAGGTTCGGTATTATGTCGACATGTGGCCAAGAGGTCGGTTATTATTTTTTACAAAGCGGCGTATTCGAGTGGTGCTATATGAATATTATGGCTATATTAAAGAACCTTTTAGCTAGTTGGCTGTTCGTAAATTTAAACTAGATATAAATAAATAAGGCACTTGTTTAGAAACAAGCATATATTTCAATCGTTCTATGTGAATTAGAAGTACTGAGATGAAGGTCGAATATAGTTGTCCCTACCTTTATAGAAGCTTTTATACTAGGCTCTGGATCAGATTTGGATGAAGTATTAGTACTGTATCGAAATCCTATAACAATATATAGTTATAAAAACTTATCTTAATGTTATTATTAATAATGCAAGTAAAATTTTTAGGAATATATGGTCCTAAACATAGTAAATTTAGTGACAAGTATCTGTTGCTAAATATATTTGACTTCTAGAGAATTTTCTTAATTTTTTTTAAATAACTCTTAATGACGATATAACACAATTGAAATAAAAAAAGTATTAGAGAAATTTATTCAGCGAGTTACTTTAATATTCCTCGTTATTATTTACAGTTCTCTAGAATTTTTATATAAGGAAAGATATGAGTAGGGTGAACTTTTCTGGGCATTTGGCACGATCCAAGTAACTCATGTAAATTTATTCTAAAACTTTCTCAGTCTATGTTTTGATAACCAGGATTTAACTATATAATATGTAAATTTCATCAAATGTTCTGCCAATAAAAATTGTCCAAAAGACCAAATTAAAACCTTAACTTTTTACTTTTGTATAACATAATGCCTTTTTAACTTATATTATTTATACAATACTTTGTAAACATATATTACCTAAGAATACACAGTAGGTAATAATTGAATTCTAGACCACACTGTAGGTATCACTTTATTCCATCAGAATCTTTGTGTTAATTTACTGCAACGTCCTTACAAATACTGCCTTTTTAAACAAAGATACTACCGACATTTAAAGTATAAAACAATTTCTTATGAGTATATTAAAAGATTGCACAATATAATATATGAATACATATACTACTACTAGTCTTACTAGAAGAGTAATGATAAAATTAGGTTTGAAATGTCAGCCTTAATTTAACGCTGTGCAAAATATTTATTGTGACAAAAATCTTTTACATTTAGATGTTAAAGGCAATAATAAATATTTGCAAATTAATAGAAACTGCTTTTCTGTTTTTGGATCTTACCAAGGTTTTTTAATAAATTCAATAGCTTTTGGCGTACGAAGAACGCTAAGTAGAATAGAACTGTACCACCACGTGTTTTCGTATATTTTAGTATATTAAGTTACTTAAGACTGCTAATGTTTCTTATCAACATGTATGAAAAATAAGCTTCTTAACCTTCTTTCTAAATCGATATTTGAATAATAACTGATAAATTCCAGAATATTTTCAATTTTAACAACGGACAGCTAAAACGTTTTGATATTCTAAAAGCAATACCAATTTATTTTAGGTTTTATCATATCAAAACTGCAGCAACTACATGTTCTTTACTTAGGATTGGCTTGGCGAAAATAATCTCAGGTAAGAAATCACCTGCTGACTTTATATCTCCCATTACAAAAAAGTAGTATTTAAGAATAAATAGACAATACATTAATATTCTGCCAGTTAATATGATAAATTTTTATATTATTTTATATTTCGTTATAATCCAAATAACATAGTATTAATTAAATGAATATACGCGAAAGTCCTTAAATAAAACAGGCATTTTTAATATAGGGTGCGCCAGAGAAACTTACTTATTTGAAAAAATTACCGCGCGGTGAGTTGGGCGGGTAGAGGAGCCAGAGAGGGCGCATTTGGAGGGGGAAGTTCCCAAGTTTGTTTCTCCCTTCAGTCAGCTGCCATCATACTCTGGTCCAGAGAGCAGCGGGCCTTCGCAGTTGAGAGCTTCTTTTCTAACGGTCGCTCGCTCTCGCTCTCGCTTTGAAATTCCTCCTCACAGACTCGTTCCTGGCCGCAATTCGATTCTGTCGTGGGTTTACTCATTTCGGGAGTGTGGAAGTGTCGCTAAACCCAGAAATGGACTTCAACGGACCATCAGAACTCCGGAAAATATCGAAAGAGTGAGGCAGTCAGTTGTGCGTTCTCCTCGGCGTTCGGCTCGCAAACACGCAGCTGCTATGGGAATTTCTGATACCACTGTTCGACGAATTCTCCATGAAGACCTTCAATTTCATCCCTATAAATATGCTGTTGTGCAAGAATTAACGGAACGCGATTTTGTTGCCCGTCAAAATGCATGTGAAATGCTGATTGACAACCTGCCTGAAGACGCGGTCGTTTTTTTCAGTGACGAGGCTCACTTCCACATTTCCCTGGTTTATGTCGATCGACCACGGACCATAGCACACCTCAAGAACAACATTCGCGACGCCATTGCCAACATACCGATTGATATGCTGCGAAGAGTGGATACGAATTTCAAAAATCGACTTCATCAGTGTATGCGCCATGGGGGTCACCATTTATCCGATGTCATTTTTAAGACTGCATGAAAAAAAAATTGGGATATTGTATTCTCAAATAAAAAAAAAATTAAAACAATAACTGAAGTACTTTTTTTTTAATTGACCTTTCAAATAAGTAAGTTTCTCTGGCGCACCCTGTACATGCGTGCTTTGTTAAACATACTAATTGTACATTCACATACGTATATTTAAAGAAATATGATATTTTCATTTGAGCAATGTTAAAGTGATTTGAAAAACAATTAAAAAAAACGTCATTTTGTTCGTATTATAGATTTTCTTTCTTTCCTTATTTATTTGAATTTATTTCTAGTCAAATATATTCTCAATTGCAACACTTCTTATAAAAACAAAATTATTTCTGTATACTTCATACATAGAATTATATTAATATAATATATTAATATAATAATATAATTAATATATTATTATATTAATTATATTATTATTATTAACAATAAAACACTTCAGCGCGTTCAAGTAGTTTTATACGAAAAATTGGCTACAACTGGTGGGAAGTTGTACCAGTTAATATGTAAATATTAATAAGTAAATATTTAATATTGCATATTTTATTAAAGCAATAAAATTTTCATGACCGAGTCCAATAGTCAATTTACAAAGCTGAAACGTTGTCATCGCTGAAGCTTGGGAGCGTCAGCATTACCAGTAGCTGTTACAACATTAAAACGTTTAAGTTCTCCTTGTACCAGCTTCGAACAATCGGTATATATTTTTATAAAGATATATTTATTAATACTATCGCTTTATAAATATGATTTATTTATTTGGTACTTTTTAAAAATTGTTAACTAAAATCTATTATTTATTTTAATACTGACAAAAAAAATCATTTGTTTTAGACATTTTTAACTTTTGTGGAAAAAATTACTGGAAATTAATGTCCATTGGAAATATAAACAACTACTTTTTATTTCACAATTTGAAAATCCCCGAAAATTTGAATTGCTATACTGTAAGAGTTGATGACAAAATAAAATATTTCACTTCCGTCAATGTGGATAAGTACATAATTTCGTATTTGAAATAAAAAGGATTATAATGAGAAAATCAAAAATTATCCGATACCATTATTTATCTTGTGCCCGGTTATATCTTTCAATTTCATTATTCTATGGGGCAGCATATTTGCTTCTGAGGGAAATACACAGAACAGGTAAAGGTTTCATACAAACAAACGTATTGCTAATTATGTCTCGGTCACAGACCGATTGATTTTGTTTTATGGCTTGGTTATTTTCTTATTTCATAACTGGACTTCAATGTATATACTAATGAAAATGGTTGAATATGTATCTGTATATAGATATTTCCATTCTTTTAAATACACTCAATATTATGTCTGTTTTAAGAATAAACAGCAATACAGATGTATATTCCCTTTTTATAGTATTTTGTAGTAAAAGTATACTGAATCTCTTTTATAACTTCGGATGAAATAAATTAGAGCATACCACCCGGCCAGATGTAATGACCGAGATTGTCATTGAACTTGCATGCCTACTGGCTTGGTTAGGTAGGGAGAGGAGCTTGGACAGTGGAGGTGAGCGTATAACGCGCGTTAGTTAAGGGGCCCCTTAAACCTACACTTGAGTCGCAAGTCCCAGGCACTGTTGAAGCTCCTCTCCCTGCAACGCGATGGACCCGGCACCCGCACGGTGAATCCATGGAATGCTGAGAAGTTTCGTCTCTTATTGTAGATGGTAACCAATTGATAAAATAACTAACGCATCACCATTTTGGAACATCATTGATCGTATTCACATTTAGCGAAAGCCCCAGGTAGAATTGGTACTCCTCTCCCCTCCAGAAAAAAAGAATGCTTTCACAACAATGGACTTACTCCCCGGCGGTGGCCAAGATAAGACTGGTCCGGTGCGGAGATCTCAATTTGATCCTAGAGATGGTCCGATGGGTCTTGACTATAGTTGTTGCCTACACACTCTTTAGCTTTTTTACGACAGGCGTTTGGACCCTCAATTGAAATTAATATTTTAACATCTTTGTTTTCAAACTATAGCTATAAACGAAACTAATTTTTTTCGGACGAGACTTTATATTTGATAAAAACTACATACTCCTGACGTTTCAGCTAAGTTTCGGTTAATAATTATTAATTTTATTATTTTCAAACATTTTCGTCAAAAATTCGAAATCTGTCGAAGACATCTGTCTGGTAAAAATATTTTGAAAAAATTTATAAACGTGAACTATTCACGGATAATCATATGAAAATAATTAAATTTTAAAAAATAACCGATAAAATTATAGTTAGGAATGCCAATGGCAATAATTCTAATATTAATTTAAGTCGGCAAACACAGTCACCGGTAACTGTTGTCAATCTGTCAAAGCAAACTTTAGCATTTGGATAAACAAACCGTTGGGATCCTTAAAAAAAGATTGAATTTTGCACCTGTATCATCAAAATTACCGTTTGAAGACATTATCTGTGACGTTGAGGAATATCATCATAAGTATCAGGTCACGAAAGAAGAGTCTGAAGCAATCCGGCAGGACCTTACATAATATGTTATGCGCCGGAGCAAATTGTCTTGACAAAACATCTCTCGTCAGGAATCAGTTGAACTCAAACACATTCGCAACAATGAGGACCTGACTGTCCTCTGTACAGACAAAGGGAACGCGAACGTTATAATGGATACGAATAACGAGTGATTATTATAGTGAAAAATTGATATTCTTTCGAATAATTCTACTTATGAAAAAGTTAACAAAGACCTTACAATTAAAGATTTAAGGGAAATAAAAGTATTAATAAATTAATACAGTTCGAAACTTAATCTAGATATCAGGCTACTCGTAGCATTGCATACAAAACCAATGAAATTGTATAGGTTACCTAAAATCCATAAACAAGATCTAGGCCACACAAAGTCGTTTGTTAAGGAAACCTACCAGTTTGTTAATGATGATAAAACACGTTAAAATTGTCAGATAAAGACAGTACATTCACTTTCAAAGGTACAGTCATTATTCACTAGTCTACATGTTCTTGACTGCATTGAGATTGTAAGAGATAAGTTAAAGGATAAAAATATGCCTATTGAATATGCAGAACTGTTAGAGCATTGCATAACATCTCACTATCTCATGATGAAGGATGAATTCTACATACAAATAGATGGGAGTTGCAATGGGTTTGCTGGTTTCTCCCGTTGTTATAAACGATATGTCGGTAACACCTTTACAATATTAAATAAAAACAAAACATCTGCTTTTCTGAACCATCTTAATTCTATCAATACCTAGCAAGATTCCATTTACCATAGAACTAGAGGCAAATAATTCTTTAGCTTTCCTTGATATACTTGTCATCAGGAATCCTAACAATATTTTGGGACTTACTGTTTATAGAAAACCCACACATGTAGATAGGTTTCTCAATGGTAACTCACACAACCTATACAGTAAGCTACTGTTGGCAAATCTTTGTTACAGAGAGTGCTGCACCTTTGTAATGCTGACCACCTAGAGGCCGAGCTGCAGCATGTAAAACATGCTCTGACTATCAAAAACCTGCCCATACCTCGCCAGCATCACAAGAATCATATGATGTCACCTACAGTTGCGCAGCAACCTGCAATTCTACCATATGTGAACGGAGTTACTGGCAACATCTTGAAGAAGGTTTCGATCAAGACTATTTATAAACCACGCAAGAAAGGGAGACAATTCTTAAGACCGATCAAGAGTAGCATTCCTTTACAATGATTGGGTGTATACAAACTCCATCGTGACTGTGGCCTGTCATACATTGGACAGACAAAGACAAGGGTTAAAGAACACATCTTGGACATCAAAAATAGGTGTGTGTTGAAGTCAACTGTGTGTGACCATACATTGGACAAACCAGGCCACTACATTCGGTTTGATAAACCACATATCCTTGCTCATGAAGACAGGTATATAGCTTCTTACAAATACAAATCACAAAAATCTTTAAGCAGCTCTAAAATCCTTTTGTGTTGTAATTAATAATGACATGCACACATTTTAAATAAACATTTGCTGAGGCTTTGTACAAAAACCTTCTTAATAAATTCTGTTCGAGGCAATGAGCCACAAAAGAAAAGATATTTTACTTAAATCTATTTGATGTAACAAAATTTTCCTTTCCCTAAAATTAGAAGACAATAACATTGTATGTATATGACATGTAACTAATAGTAGTGCTATTGTTAGTTAATGTTTATGATGATACTTGAGTGTCTTGACATCTGTTATGTGCAACTGAAGGCAAAGGTAGTTTTCCTATTATAGAGTATAATGCGACTCACTCACAATGCCGAAGTGTGTTAATGCTTAATTGGAACGTGAATTATTTTTCAATTGCACCAGTAGAGTGCGCTAAGTTCAGTGTTGGAAATGAAAAGTTGAAAATAAAGCTTCAAAATTTTTTTCGGTTTAACACTTCATCTTCATGATTTTCGTCATTTTCATATTCGTCACCTTCAACAACTTAGATGATGTCAT